GATTTGCAAGTTACAAGCTACAAGTTACAAATAGTTGCAAGGGTCATGCCTTGATCGCGTAAAGTGTCAACGGGACCAGCTAGAAGAGTTGAAAAAGAAGACACGACCCTTGCAACTACTTGCAACTTGTAGCTTGTAACTAGTAAATCTTTTGCGGAACTGGCCCCAGCTCACTCGACTGGAGACGGGACTGGACTGCGCGGAGTGTTTCGTCCTTCGGTCCGACGCCGGCCGGAGGCGGATGGGGAGGTCGTGCAAGCTCAGTGGGTGGCGAATGGGTTCGCGTGGGAGGTCATGCAAGTCTGGTGGTATCGCGAAAGTTTCAACCGTTTCACGATGTTCTTTCCACTCGATTCCTGACGTCGTATCTCTTCGCGTTCGGCTGCGGTCATGCAAGACGTATATACCTTAAGGCTCGCTGACGAAGGAGTAACAAAAATTTTCCGCTAAAAATATTGTAGTCGGGTGGATTTTCGAAGAGGGGATATGTTGTCGACCGTAATGACTTTCGGACCAGAGTCTGACCAAACTGGAAGCCTTGGAAATGGTTTTCCGCACTTAAACATAAGTTGCACAGCAGTATCAGGAAGGTCAATGCTTGAGGCCTCATTTACATTTTACATAAAAAGGGCCCAGGATTCGAGGCGCCGGGGGGGATCGGGCGTCTCGTCCGGTCTTCTCGTGCAGCGGCGACCGCAACGCCATCTATGGTGCATATTTTGGCGCTCCCCCTCCCCGACTCGCAGTGAGTGCTCGGCAGCCGGCTGGGGAAGACGTGCGCCAACGTGCGCCGACGTGACGGCCGAGACGCCTTTTCGCAGCTTCGTCGTTTTCAGCGCGGAAGAGGATCCCAGTTCCGCCGTTAGTCATCTCGATGGAAACTCGAGTGAGTTCGTCGTCGACGTCGGCACCGAGAACTTAATTGGGGGCCAGGATGAGGATGAGGACGAGGATGAGGATCACGATTAATGAAATTTTTCGCGAGAATCGCTGTCAACTAATTCGCGCGATTACACCGTTGTAAGAAAAAAAAAGCTCATTCTTATTTTCTTCAAATTATTGTTATTATTCCTTTAGCATGGAATACTCCGATCCGACCTCATCTGACTCACCCAAGAATGAATTAGCGTGATAGCGTGAGTGAGACGTGCAATCACGCGGCACGCATCTCATTACGACGTCCCTTGCCCCCGCCGCTGCGGCATGCGTTCCACTGCGATTTCGCTTTCGATCTGGACCGCACGAATGAACGGTGTGAAGACAACCCACCCCACCCCCCCCCCCCCCCCCCCCCCCCCCCCCCCCCCCCCCCGC